TATTGAAAATTCTAGCATTTGATCTGTTTATGTGTGTAAGAAATGTTTATGGAGTTTAACTTGCAGCTGTAGGATGGGAGTAGTACTGCAAGTCCCATACTGTTCCGTGCAAAGATGTTTTGATACATCTGGGAGAATGTAAGCAAGAAGGTCAGTGGATAATGACTTAATGATTTGGAGCAGAGGCAGAATTTTGGGAGTAGTGGCAAGGCCTTGCTGGAGAAAAAGGAACAACTGGAAAATCTGAATGATGACTGAGGCTAAAAATATCAATGGGGAAAGCTGAACAAAGTTAAATGTATGCATATGGTACAATACAGTCATGTTTAACACATTTGGCTGTACCTTGGGAGAAACAGCCTGCGATTTCATGTAAATGTTCTGCCTCCAGTGTGAATCCTGGGGGGCAGAGCCCAACACAAGGGGGATATCTGTAACTCTTCCCTTCGGACTCTTCCAGTTCTAATTGCTAATATACAAGCATGAGTGATCACAAATTGTTCATATAGTTCTGTAAATATTGAAATACTCAGGATTCTGTTGTGCTTGGCATAGACATGCAATTCACTGACAACAAGACTGGACCTTTTGGTTAGTTGACAGATCATGTATAATGGAGCAAGCTGCTGCTCTTTTACATTTTCTTAAAGCCATAACCATCTTAGTCCATCTGGAAACATCCCTGCTCGACAAAGCAGAATTCCTGGGTCATATATTTTTTAAAATTATGTTAGTCATATGGCAGTGTATCATAGTCAAGAGTCATTTAAAGAAAGCAGTTAAGTTGTGCCTGCTTTTGAGTGTCTACTTGGTTGGGTTAGTGCATGCTGGTGGCGTTACCTTCTGCTAACAGGTCCTTGAATTGAGGTTAGTGGCCAGAGGAAAAAGTTTTTATTAAATATGCCAGGATGGCATGGTTCATACTGGAAGGGAGGAAGCAGTTAAAAGAACTAGTTATTAGTTGAATGGAGCACTTTTTCTAAGCACATCCCGAAGGTTTTCATATTAGCTCGAAATCTGGACTCACCTTTTATAGGGAATATTATGCTTGCACAAATACTAGAAACTTCTTTTTTCTCAAGGCAGGATAGGACCACAATGAGGGCCTTAGATACATTTTCCTCAGTGTTTGAAATACATTGTGTGTATGGCACAGAGGTTTTGCAGGAAGTACTGTTGCAGCAGTAAGCATTGGTCAGACTTTTGGTTCTTTCTGCTTACTGAGCAGACAGTCCTAAAAGGTGGTAGCTGCTGTCAAGGGGAGTCAGTAGTGTTTCATATGGGAGGGAGCAGACAGCAAGGGGAAAATGCAGGTTGAGTGTCAGGAAAAATGTCATCAGTAAAGTCTGGAGGGTGCTTAGATGAGTGATATGTCTCCTTGGAGGATGCAGGAGGGCTCTGGTTGAAAAGCCAAGTCTCTTTTCCTTCTCTGAAAGCTCTAGTGAGGACAGCCTGAGCTCCAGTGCCTGCTGTGCTGCTTCGGTCACCTTAGTTACTGCAGCCACTGATCAGTCCCTGCAAAAGCACCGGAGGATTGTCCCTTCTAGAAGGCCTTGTTGAGTATTGTCTTCGACAACCACTTCTTGGCCCCTGTAATACTGGGGACTTGGCTCAGAGGTGGCTGAGGTGGAGAGGGGGGAGTTGGGCTGGGAGCCAGGGTGTGGTCCGTGTTGATTTATGTGTTTGTTTTTGTTTGCACAACTGTAGTTGTGCAGTGGTGACGACTCTTGCCTTTCCTTTTGGGACTGATCAGTATTGGTGGGGCCACCTGTGGGTGCAGCAGGCTGTTCTCATCCCCACAGTAACTCCAGTGAGTTCGAGGTGTCAGGAGGCTCTGACCTTGATGGCATAACACACGTAAGATTGGGGAAATATCTTCCAAAAGGAAAGTTGTTGGCCATCTCTGTACTGTCACAGCATTGCAGGATGAGAGCAAGGATTAATGCTTGAGTAAAGCAGCACGTGAGTCTACCCAGAGAGGTTTAACTGCACACACCCCTTCTCCTGCAGTGAATGCATGAGTGTGTCTGTGTACATCTCTAAATTCACTGCTGCCTAATTTTCCTTCTTCAAAATATCAACCAATTTCTAGTGACAAGGAACCTAATCACCTATTTATTAAAATGAGACAGACAGTAAGTTTGTGTGGGGAAATGTGAAGGCAGTGCACATTGATCATGCTGATTTAGGACACTACTGCCATCGCAGCATTTCCGGAGATAAATTCTTTGCAGCTAATTGCATTATAAATTCCACTAAACCATTGTCATAAGGTATTTCCCTAACATACAAGCCCTCCATCAAAAATAAAACCAAAAAGAGCAAAGGACCAGTTGTGGGGTTTTTCCTAATTAAATATTATATGAAAATAAGAAGAGAGAGAGGGGGAAAATGCAAATCATGTTAATTAGATGCTAGATCTGTTGTAGTGGGCTAGTTTGGAATACTGTGGGACATGTTGAAACTCATAGGGATTTTCCATCTGAAAGCCAAAACAGTTGAGTCCTGAGGTCTTTGTCCTCAGATCAAGACACTCCTGAGCTATTCCAGGATTTTGACGTCACTAAGTTTCAGACATGGTAGTCCTGGCACGTTATGAATCTTAACCATCCCAAAAAGTGACCCAGACAAGGCTTGGATACTGGACCCACCTTCAAGAGAGCCCGGAGAAACTGCGGCAGTGGGATTGAGCCGCCTCCTCCTGCTGTGGCGGACTGTGGCCATGGAGTTATGGTGCCTGCAGCGGGTGTCCTGGGCTAGAAACACCAATAGGAAACAGCATGCATTGTGTACAGCTGATATGAACACCTGTGGGGTTCACCAGAGAGCAGTTCCCCCAAATACTCAGTGGTAGTACTTAGTAAAGTGCATTTTTCCAGGGATCTCAAAGGTTTTTCTCAAGCTGAGTCAGAAGATACAGAAGCACAGAGCAATTAATTGGATTTTCCAAGGAAGCATAGCAAGTAGTGGAGGACTGAGGACTTCCTTGTTTCCCAGGCTCCAGCACAAAGCATCCAACTGTTGCCCCCAGTACCTTAATATTTTTTCAGGTGACTGGGACCAAAGCATGACATTTTGTTTTCTTTCATATTGAAGGGCACAAATTCTCATTCTTTGAAAATATTTGTCACAGCATGCCTATACAAATTCTCTCCTTGTTTCCTACAACTGTTGTGCTGTGGGCTCATTTTAGAGACATGGCAGGGAGACATGGCAGGGAGACATGGCAGTCAAACCAGGAGGGGGCTGGGTCTCTTCCAGTTTTCATGGATGAGATGTTTCAGATAGTGCTCATTTCTGAAAAACTCGTTGGATTGTTCAGCAACTGGGAAATTTCTTTGCAGGGTACTTTGGTCATAGGAAAGCTTTTCCTCCTAATGTCTTGTATGAAACTGGGAGTTGTTAGCTCCCACGGTAGCTGTAGCAGTCAATCTGCTATCTGATTAGAAGAAAGCATTTTCTTTTCTTCCTCCTCCTCTCCCCCTCCTCACACAGTAAAACTGTGCAACAGGCAAATGCACAGGGTGAGACCCCACTTGCCAACTGTAGTCTCCTAAAAGTTGGGCCTCCACTGGTGTCAGGTCACCCCACTGCTGCTGGGGCTGGGGGGGTATCAGGGGCTACCCCAGAAATTTTCATCTGCACCTGCCCTCACATAATTCTTGCCTTTGACAAAACCACAATGCCTGAAATTGAGTTGACCGAAGTTAGATGGGTCAGTTAAAGCTAACAGAGCTGGGTTGTTCATAGACTTGAGCATTATTAATTAGTTTTTATCTTGCCCTGAGCTGGGTCAGGTATGAGGTGTTTTTCTCAAGGGGGAACTGAGATAAAGTGGTTCCCCCAGGAACATTGAGTTGTGGCAGAACAACCATTAGGCCTCAGGACTTGTTGCCTCATTAGACCTCTCCACCTCTGCTCCTGACAGGAGAGATGCTCCTACTTGGTTTAAATGTGCTGTTAATTAAATGTGCCCTGAATGTAAGGATGCTGTAGCAGCACACCTAGTGTTGACTCCTAGATCAAAGGAGTGAGTTCCCTGCACAACAGCCATTAAGGTGCACTGCTGAGTGACAGAGACCAGAGAGAGGGATAAGAAATTTAATCCAGGGGTTATTTGAAAAAAGTTATAAAAGTTCCTCCAACAAATTCACAGATGACAGTGACATGGGAGAAAGTTCCCTAGAATTACTGCATACACACACATGAAATGTGATTTATCCTTGTACATGGGTAACAGCTGGCATAGCAATGGGCTTTAATCTGGGGAGAGGGGGACATCTGTTTGCTGGTGGGAAGAGGGGAGGGAGAAGAGAAACATTTCTAAATTTTTGTGGTAAAAGGGGCATTTGTCATTCTCATTTTTTATGTTATTGTTTCCAACAATTGTTACGTGGTTGTTAAATTTTTTGAGTAATTTTAGATTTTCCAAAAGTGACCATGATTTGTTACTTATACTGTAGCTTACAGAAGTGACACACTTAATATCGGGGGGTCCAAACCTGGATATCTACCAATGGAGATGGAGATCAGGTAAATGCACACCTGCTCTTCCAAAGAGAAAAGCTGCCTTTTGGCAACTGGTATGAGAGGGAGCTGCAGGCTGTACCATGAGCATTTTGGAAGAGGTTAGACTCAGTGCTGCCATTAATCACCAACCTTCGTGTAGGCCCAGCATGGTTTTGTGTGACAATGATGTTCAGACAACACGCCATCTACCAGGAGACTCCGGGACTCTGGAGAAGGCTCTGGGTTCCATCCCTAGCAGTAGCTGAGCACAGGTCCGCTGCAGGAGACCTGGTAGGAGCTGTGGTCCCACACAGACCAGCCCCATAGCGAGTGCGAGGTACCCTCTTACTCTCCCAGCTGGAGGGAAGGTGGTGGTGGCCACAGCAGAGACCATGATGGAGAAGGCAGGTGAGAGGGAGCTGTCTACAGGTAGAAAAGAGTAATTATGTAGCACTGTTGCCATGCCTGTCATCTCCTCTTCTCTTTTGCAGACACTTAACAAGAACAATTTGATACCAGATGACAGGACCAACTTCTACCCGTTGCAGCAAACCAATGTGTACACAACAACCTATTATCCCAGTACACTGAATAAATATGACTACAGGCCCGAGGCCTCCCCTGGAAGGACCTTTACCAACAGCTGATGATGGACAGATCCTACAGGACTGAATAACTTCCTATATGATTTTTTTTTTAATTGATTTTATGGACCAAATACCGGCCCAGCCTCTAGATGTAAATATTGTACAGTAGGGTCTTTTTTTTTTCCTTTGGTTAATTGTATTTCTTGTAAACAGCACATCTCCTTACAAGGACAAAAATGCATATGGACCATTCTGCAGAGCTTTTGTGGACATTTGGCTGGAGATGGCTCTTACTACTGCAGCTGTTTATGGCGGGAAGATCAGTGTTGCTGTCCAAGGCCGACGTTGTCGAGGAGGGGGATGTGTGCTGGGCTTGGTGGCTGCTGTGCAGCAGCACACAACACACAGGAGCACTCCAAGCAAGGCCAGAGGTGGCCTTCCTGGGGAAGTGGAGTCTGTCTGGTGAAGAGCATCCTTCCTGAGCCAGGATAGCAATGCTGTGCTGGATGACACACAGCTTGTGAGACAGGCCAAACAGCACTCCATCGTGCCAACAACTTGAAGAACATTTTCTTTTCCTTTTTTTATTTTTGATTTTTTTTTTAATGTTTCTGGAAAAAAAAGTAGTAACTTTCTAGGGCAGTGTTCCCTTTATCTTCAACAGAATCTTTTCATATTACAGGAAATACTCTCTGCAGCCTTCTTTGGTAATATGCAGTTCAGCTGATGAGAAACAACACACAAACAAAGTGCATTATCCAAAGAAGCTTTCCAGAATGTTTCCAGTCTTAATTAAAATTATACAGGCAGTGAGACACTGAGAAAAGTAAATGTTGGAATAACATCGGAGACATGAACTTGGAGTGCCTAACAAACAAAGATGTTTATATCAGTGGAAAAAGAGATGTGATGATTGCCGCACAAGAGCCATGGGCTTATTTTCTTTCTTCCTTTTTCTTTTTTTCTGAGACAGTGTTAACTCTTTTGTTCTAGCTCTGATCCTGATTGCGTCTGCCAGGAAAGGCAACTTTAGAGGCCATGCTCTTCTTGTGGGAAATCACCATGCTTTGGGCTAATATTTCCTCTTGTTTTATTATTGGGTTTTAGTTCCTTTACTCTCAAAGAGTGAATAATTCTGACTTTGCAGGGGTAAGGTATTTTTGTAAGGAATGTTTCCGTAGTCTGACATGACCCAGAAAGTCTGCTGCACATTCTTATAGTGTCTTCCAGTGAAATTGTAACACAGCTGAGTAATGTGCATTGTTTGCCAATATTTCTTTATTTTTTCTGAGAAAAACAACCCAACAAACAAATGCTGCTGCAGCTATTGAAGTAAATTGGGGTGGTAGCACTATTAAACAGTATATCCAGCCTTGAAATGTAATTTTGTGTATGTGTGTGACTGTGTCTATAAGAACTGTATTAGTCTGATGCAGAAGCCATGTTGTCTACAACCAGATGTTTGTCTGACATAATTGTTTGGCAAAAAGGAAACTTATTGCTGGTGCTTAATGTACAATTACATCCAGTGTGTTAGCAACGTGAACAAGTTCACCGCTGTTATCATTCAGTGTTTCTAAATATTTATAATGAACTCCTGATGCTAAGGATTTTAGAATGTCGCAATACAGAGCATGAGATAAAAGTACACCCTGAAATGCGCATGAGCTCCATGTGGTCCTGAGCTTGGCTTTGTCGTCTGCATCTTACTCGAGCAGTTGCCATGCCCGTGCCTGGCCACTGACCCGGCCGTGTTCCCAGCAGTCCTGTCTGTCTGTGCTTAATTCCAGATTTCGCTGTAAGCCGACATTGATTGTTGCTCAGTGCTGTTCCTTTGCAGTCGCTTGTTTGGAAGTCCGGCTTGGGCTGTGTACTCAGCTCTTTCACATAGGCAGCTGGTAGGAAATGAAGGAAGACTGTGTTGCTTGTGACAAGTATATTGCTTTTCCTGTGAGGAAGAGTCAGCATGGCTCTGTAAGCCTGTGTTATGGCAGTTTGACCAGAAGGCAAGTATGAAATAGCCTCCCATTTTTAAATTACTTTGTTTGACTTCAGTTTGCAGTGATTGAAGGCTGTAGGGATATTTGTAATAGAGTGGGGTCATTAGCACTGCCACAAGGACACCTTTGGCTCAGCAGTACCCATCTTCAGCTGCTGCTTTTCTGATTTAGCAGCTGGTCCTGCTTCTGCTCTGGTCCCACCAGATAAAATAGAGGGGGCAGAGGGAGATAGAGAGTTGCTCTTAAATAGATTTTAAGCGGATACAGACGTAGAAGATCTGTCTGAAGCAACCTGCTGCAACCCTCCAAGTAGGCACGGGGGTTCGGCACTTCTGACTCCTTCCAGCAGCACAGCCAGGCAAGAGCAGCAGGAGTGAAACAGGAACACCAGGGAAGCAGGAGAGCACTGGTAGCAGGTACCAGCCCCTGCAGAGAGGCTCTTCCCAGGCCCCTAAATTCCATTTGAGGAGCAGTGACTTTGTGCCTTCATGCCATGACGAGTTCACTCTGTCTCACTGAATTTCCACATTCCTGTCAGCAACACTGAAGATTCCAATTTAAAGTAATTTTAACAAGTATGTAGCCATGGGGTTGAAAATTATTATATTAGACTATCAGGATGGGATTGCCCAGATTTAGTTTATGTGATTCAGGAGAAAACACTGGCTCCCAGGATCGTTCTAGCTATGGTAGAATCAAAGCCGTCTCTGAGCTTCCCCTTCAGAAGATTCCCTGTATTGACACACTCTGCAATTACCATGCACATGGCAAGATTGCAGCTGGAGTTGGGGAGGGATGCAAGTCAAACCTTGCAATTATCTCAATTTTTTATTTTTCCTTTCTCTTTCCCCCTCCACCCCCAAACATTTTTTCCCTTTTTGGCTTCACAGAATAACATGATGTAAACTGATTTTTTTTTTCCCAAAGTACTGTATAGTAGATGAAATTATTTAAGTGTTCAACTCACCAAGACAAGTGATTACTGCCATTGTGCTCAGGAGGTGGATATTGGAGGCTATTGGAGGCAAATGCTTTGAGGGTGATGCATGTGGTTGTAGTTTCATCAAGACATTCCTTCTTACCAGCCATCCAAATGGATTCAGCCCTTTTTCATGTAATTGGCAATCACAGCAAGGGGCTGTAGTCTCCATTCAAGCAGAAAGCAGAATCCAGGAGAGAGTGAAAAAAAAGAAATCAGAACACTTATTACTCAATTAATGTTTGCAGGAGAGTGCAGTTCTTTAAGGAGGATGTTAATGCGGTGTGAGAGTTGCATTTTTTATGAGCTCTCTAATGCGTGGCAGGTTAATGACACCATGTACAGTGATATCTTGCAATCCAGGTAATTCAGCACATTGAGCATCAGGTCTGTAATATCTGTATCAGTTTGAATTGCTTTTACAGCTGGATGTTAAACTTGCTAAAACTTCCTGTTCCTAAGGCCATCTCAAAGTACACTGGAAATGCATTTCCTGTGGGAATATTGCTTTCCAAAAGATTCATATAATATTTCTTTTTTAATTTTTTTTTTTTTTTTTTTTTTTTTTTTACTTCTAAGACAGAAGGGGAACCCTGAGCAGTTTCTGTGTAGGTCTGGAGACACTGTGTCTCTGCAAAGCCTTTGGGTAGTATTCAGGTATACAATGTGTGAAATATGATGGAAATCTTACAGCCAAGTATGTAGTGGAAACATCTTTAATTAGGCCATTCTTTCTTTTTCCATGGAAGTGAAAAAAGCCAAAGGGGTGTGCATGATGGTGCTATCCAGGCTGTGTTGTGCTGTTGCCTGTCAGGCTTTCCTTGAGCAGCTGTCACCCACCAGAAATACCTTGTGCTGCTCGCTAACATACAAACCACTCGATGATCAAACCATCGCGTAAGAGGTGCTGTTGCTCCAAGGGTGCACTTGAATGTTCAGCATGTGAGCCAGGGCTGCTCTTAAATATATGAACTGTACAGATACTATAGGAGAAGAACATGTATTGTCTCTCCACTAGTGTTCCTAATGCCTTACGTTCAGAAAACAAAGTATTTGGTTTGAAATCAACAGAGAGCAGGAATGGAGCCCGTGTCTGACACAAACAATTTGATGGCTCCAGTGATAATCTGATGTTCAGCCCACCTGGAGAGAAAACTGCTGTCCATTGAGATTGATTTATTCTTTGTACCAAATGTAGTGGGGGAGAGTTATATATATATATAAAAATATATATATAAAAATGTAAATGTAAAGTTTGTGTAACAACTTACTCTTTTTTTGTAACAGTGTATACATCTATCAGTGGATAGATACAGTATATATTTATAATATATACACACGCAATATATATATTTAGCAAAATGCCTGCAGAGGAAACTTAGAATAAGAAAGGCGGTGCTGGTATTCAAATACCACAGGGACAAAGCGAAGAAAAAACCCTGTAAAAATCTAGTGTCCTTTCTGTTAGGTTTAAAAACCCATTTTTGAGGTAAATGAAATATAATTTTTTAATTGAAAAGTAAATTGATTTTTCTAGTTAGAAATGCTGATTCTCCCCTGAATCATTCTGGTTAAGAGTGATTAAGAAAAAGATACTTGTTACTGCTTATATTTTCAGAATAAGCTCCCAAATTTATCATGTGTATCCCTCTATTGTTTTTCTAATTATAAGTAGGGAGTAATCGTGCAAAGAAAATTAAAATAGCAAGTAGGAGTAACAAATCTTGTACCATTAGAGCAAAAGACATCATCTGTTAGAACAGGAAAACTGTCATCTTCCATGTTTAAGAAGTCAGTAACTGCCTTCTGAGTTAATGATCTGCATTACAAGCCTTGCCTTATGGTCACACTAGGAGGTTTTAGTACAAAATTTGGAAAAACAGAAAGCCTGCAAACCCATGGCTTTTGATTTTCAGAGAGCTCCGAAAAAAGCCACAGGCCCATGGGAGTCAGGCACGTGGTGCCCTGTGTGTCTCTGAAGCTTTCTGCTTAGTGGCCAAGGCTCTGCATCCATTTCTTGCCCTGTCGATCCCATGAGCCAGCCCATGTGCAGCCCATATGCATGGCAGGGCACAGCAACCCTTGGAGCTGTCTGGTATAAGAGAGAAATACCCAATAAATGGGGTTTGAAGAAATTTTTTTTTTTTCAACAAATCACTTTGTAATGCCCTCATGACCAAGCCCAAACTCCAACAGGTGAATCTTTCCCTTAAGCTTGTTAAGAGGAAACATCAGGTGGCTTCAAGAGCAGTTTTGGGGTAGGTGAGAGAGGTTTCTGTCCAATTTTGCGTTGCCTGATTGCCAGAGCCTTCAAAACTCGGCAGAAACCCCTCTGGAGCTGGGTCCTTGTGGGACTTACCCACTCTCACATGTTCTGTCTGGAAATTCCTCCTTTGGACCCTCTGGGAAATATTAGTGTCTGTATTAGTCCTGATTGGAGGAGCAAAACCAGCAACCCACTATTTACATAGCCACGAATGTAAGTGCTCAATTGCATTCAACATAAGTTTGGGTCTTGAACTTTTTGTTTTTAACATTCTGCCTCCAGCCTCAGCTGCAAACTCACCCCTGCTGTTTGAGAGGGTTCAGTGCTGTAAGAGCAGCATTTGGCTTTCTGCAGGTCCCAGCCACGATTTGGTTTTAAACAAATCTGATTGTGAAAAGTATAAATGCTGCACTCTTGGTTCTGACAGCTCTGTAATCCAGCAGGATGCTGCTGATTCGCAGGCTGCAGAGTTAAGCAGAGGATGGTGTGGACAGGTCATTAATAACTGAAGCAAAAATGTTATTAGTACCAAAATGTCAAACAATGTAAAAGCCAGCCAGCTGCTCGGTAGGGTGCTTTCCATCCACACCCCTCCTTAGACAGCATCCAAACCTGCCCATATCTAAAAGTGATGTACTTAAATAGGAGCATTCCTACAGAGGAAGCTTTAGGGAGGATGTATGGTATGTGAGGTGGAAATGATAGGATTTAGCTTGTAGTTGAAGTGGGAGAGTGACAGATGCAATACTGGATCTTGGATACATGGGAAACAATTATGCCAACACAGAATGCTTGCCCCAAAACAACAAAACCTGAAGAGTATTATTGGACTCTGTTGTGAAGGCACATCACCCTTCCTATGCAATTGAACTTGATGGTACTTTAGCATAAAGGTGACCTAGACTGTAATCACTGCCTTTAGACACTGTGAATTTTTTTTGGGTACTCTGTATTTTTATATATTGTACAATGTAAAGAATAATTCAGAAATAAAACAGAACAACCTGACAAGCCTGTGAGTTATTTCCCCTTTTTGGGCAGTGTGTGGCACGTCCGGGGCTCCTGACAGCACTGGCACGATGGGTCATCAGGAACATGGAGGAGCTTCCTCCTGACCTTCGTGGCTAATGGCAATGCAAAATCCACTCAGCTGCTTGAGCAGAGATGGGGAATTGAAGCATACATCCTTCCTCCCTGTCTGCACTCTGGTTCCATCCTGAGGCCCAGGTTTGGATTACATTTGTCATGACTTGTAGGCTGTGCGGACACAAAATTGTGTTACTGTTACACCAAAGGTTGTCCCTGCCATTCACCTCCCCTCCCTCATGAGCTCCACGCCAAACCTGGGATGCGTTTCAAAAATTCTGTTTCTTAATAAAGTGCCCAGTGAGGTAAGATCTAAATTTGGGGTGCTGAGTCCTTGTCCAGTTCTGCCATACATGTCTCCCCTCTGCTCCCCAGCTCTCCGCAGGTGACACCGAGTCTCCAAGGGCACAACTGCTCTCCATGCCAAGGAGATCAGCTGGCTGCAGCCAGCAAAAAGAGGCTCATCCTCTGCAGAGCCTCTGAGCTGTACGTGCTCAGCTGCAATGAAATCCTGTCACTGCTCCTGCTCATGCCCTACATATTGATGTGAAAAGTTATAAAAAGCTGAGGGACACGTTTTGATTGAAGGATGATCGTAGCCTCGTATTGAAGAACGTTATAGCTCTTGTTGGATTTATTAATCAAAGTAAAGACCATGAAAAGTGACAGAGTCGGGAACATTTTAGTTTATGTTCCGATACAGCTCAAGACTTATATTGAAGTTCCATACAGAAAATTACACCATAATGTCATAAAAAATAGATTGGATTGCTAATAACCTGAAACGTGCTACACCTGCATACATAATACTTTAATCCTACTAAATCATAAGCTATCATTTGGGTGTTTTCATATTCTCAAGTGTGCATATAGGAATTTCTTTTCAATGCAGACCATTAAAAAGTAATTGAGAGGCACAAGATCTGTAAAAACAAACTTGCTGTGAGTAAGATAGATTTTTTTTCCCAGTTAGGTTGCACAATAACTCAGGGAGGTCATTTCTGAATGGTTTTGTTTTGCATCAAGACACCTCTACACACAATTAGAGCAAAGTATCATGTTGGAACCAATTTCCAATTTCCTTTAAATCTGTCTGCCACCACATTTTTTTTAGTTGCTAATTTGATTCATTAACATAACAGTTTGACTTTTAGCCTCAGTAAATTTTGTTCTCTCACTATGCATCCCAACTGTACACTTTTCCCTCTTTAATTCTTAACTATGTGTCAAACAGCAAAAGTTTCATTATCTTGCAGGTTCCCTGACAGCTTTTTATGAAGCCAGAGCCTCAGGGCTGTGCTACTGGGCTGTGAGCAGCACCCGCTGCCCATGGGTTTGCTGGGGAGCACCTGCAGCAATGTTGGTAAACGAGGGGGGTACAGGTCAGGGTGTGGAGCTTTCTGTGGGAACAGCACTGACAGCCACAGTCTCACAGCCCCCCTCCAGCCTGCCCTTGGCAGCACTCAGAGGTTGAGTGTAAGAAATGTGGGAAAAGGAAAAAGCAGAAGTTTCCTCGTAAGTCATGTCTAGTCTACCTGTTCCTCCCAGCTCCCTGCAATAGGTGCTTTAGGGACGTGCTGTGCCAGATGGTGCAGTGACAAACCTGTCCTAGTCCTGTCCCTCCATATGAAGCCCATTTGCTGGTTTTTTTCTTCTCTATCAAGGGATGGAAACATCCATGGCTGATGGGGCACTTGCTTGGGCAAGTTATGGAGGCAAGGAGGGGCAGGGAATTGCTGCCCAGCCCAGTTAACACCAGTGCTAAGTGAAAATGCAGGAGGCAAGGACTTGAATGAAGGAGCTGTACCCATCACAGAGCAGCCGAGCAGATGCATTTGGGCACCAGGGCATTATCCAGAGCAAGTGGTGTCAGACCACGTTTATTTCCTCCTCTGAACAGAGATGTCCTGCACATAGCATGGAAATAAGAAGTATCACACAGCCTGATTTTAGTAAGGTTTTTGACTTTCTCATAAATGACCCTCCTATGCTGCCAGGACCAGTGTCCAGGCAGAGCATCGTGCAGACACACTCCTCAGAAAGCAGTCAGGTTGTGGCAGTAAAAAAAGCCTCAAGTGAGTCCCCTAATGCCATGCCCAGCACCCCTACTAATGCTCAGCACCCCAGCCACTACCCACATTCCCACCAGTGCCCCCAGTC